ACAGTTTACCTGTAAATAGTTTAGTTTAATCTCCCACATATGGAGAAATTTAAAATCTTATAACCACAAGATTATTGTCACTCCTAAGAGCCTATATTTTTATATATGCACATATATAGCAGCACACATTTAACGTAGTGATATTTTGTTTATGAGAAATGTCCTATGGTCCATTTTAAAAAGCAAATTTTTGGAAAGAGACAAGAAATTTTGCCTCTTTTGGCTTCTACATGTTTCCTCCATAGAATGGAAGGCTGCTGGTCGATGGGCAGGGAGGGTATAATGGTCACAAAGTAGCCTAGAGCTACCATGAAGGTAAGAGTAGATGTTTTGATCTTCACTCCAACAGAGGGATCTTGGTGGTAGGCATGGGACTGAGGTAGAAGGAGGGAAGGGGCCATGGAAGAGGAGCAAGCCTAAGAGGACGAGTGAGAACTGTGTTGATGAGCAGAGCTGTGTTCAGAAGTTTGCGTGGGATAGGAGAATGTGATCTAGAGAGAGCTTCTGGGACTGTGACACTTTTAAAGATTCTTAGATTTCCCCTTGAAAAACCTAAAGATTCACATTACGTATGGTCATATACTTGTGGTATATGGTTCTATTTAATGTTGTTTGATTTTATAATGATGTAAAAAATGACACACATCTAGTAGAAAGCAAACCAAATTTTGAATACTCATCTTTCCTGGGTTAGTGGTATGCACTGCAGTTCTCTTTAGAGATGCAGTGATGTGAGCTAAAGCTCCCAGTCAGTGACTGTGAGGCAAACAACTGAGACTACAACATGCTTGTTGCTGAGTTAGGATGTTTGATAAGTTAGGAATATTAAAAAGGGTTTCGGCTTACAACATTTCCCAACCTACAATGATTTAATTGAGAACAAAACTTTGAGGAACAGCTGCGTATGTGATGTCATCATATCTATGCTAATGTCCTTTGCGTCTTTTCTTTAATTCATGTTTAAAGGATGCTGTATCCTCACGTCTGTTCACATTCTTGGGACATGCTATGTTCTTATCTATTTAGAGGAGAGGGAGAGAGAGAGAGAGAGAGAGAGAGAGAGAGAGAGAGAGAGAGAGAGAGAGAGAGAGGAATCAACCTCCCTCACACATGCCAGGCAAGAACAGTACCACTGAGCTCCAGCTCTACACCATGTAACTTGTAAGCAGGGCTACCTGCTTTTAGCATGAAGCCATCTCTAGCCCAACAGTTTGAGGGAGTTATTTTGTTCACAATTTTTCTTCTCCTCTATCTTGTTTTAGTCAGTCTACCTCACCTCTAGAAGCAGGTATGGGATAGATGATAAACTTTAAACATGTATGAGCACAGGAATGACTGAATTAATTACTGTATATAACAAATGACTGAACTCCATCCAGCCAAGGAAATATATTCGCTTGATTTCATAATGTCATATAAATGTCTCCAGCACCATACTGTCACTACTGCAGTTCATTAATCAAAGTGTGGTAGCCTCAGACTTGACCACCCATTTGAGAAACTACACCCTTTAAAAGCGCTTCCCCCATTGTTTCTTTCTGAGCCTCCTAAGGGACCTTGGTATGTCTATATACCAGTTGGCCAGCCTTGATCCTCATGCAGCATCTACTCACTCATCCCAGTTCATTCTCCCATGGTGGGGGCCTTGATGGCCATCAGTGAAGAGTCACTGCCTGCCAACTGATGCCAACACCCTTGGCAAGTTTGCTGCCTCTGGGTTCTCTCAAAGCTTCCACCATGCTGGCATGGTAGGATATGTATGTCTGTAGTTTCAGATACTTGAGAAACATGCTTGAGGCAGGAAATTTACTTGAGCTCACGAGCTAGTTTCTGCCTCATCAACAGCAAAACAGCACCAACAACCAAATATCCTTTGTTTATATAGACAGAGTCCCTGAGGGTCTTGAGAAGCAATGCAGGTTGACTCCTCCCCAGCTCTCACTACCACATGTGCCAGCTTGGCTCTGAGGGATAGCAGTGTCAGGACAGAGTCCCATAGATTCTCTTAGGGACATCTCATCAGTTTTTGCCCACTTGGAATGTAGATGTCAAAACACAGGCTGCAAGTCACAGATGGTACTGTGTCTAAATGCTTTTATTCCAGGTCTTTCCACATAGTCTCCTCTCATCTCAGAGAACCATCAGTATGTGAAAACATCCCAGGTTAGGCTACATGATAAAGTCCTTTCATCTAGGATATTGCTCTTGTATGTGGGCCACAGAAAGCCACTCTCAAATGCATCTTATACTACTAAAAATAGCAGTAGCTGTCAGTGGCTCCAGAGCAGGCATTGGGTGTTTGCATACATTAGCTCTTGCTAATCTTCACAGCAATGTCTTTGCACCCTTTACTGATGAGAAAAGTGAGGCCCCAGACGGCCTTATATTTTGCTCAAAGTCACATGTAAGTGGCTAAACCTGAATTCACACCTAGGACTTGAACTGTAAAAGTAGCTTATTATTTTATGATTAGAGGCTCAGTCAGTAAAGTGTTTGCTATGCCAGCATGAAGACCTGAGTTTGATACTCAGAACCATGATTTAAAAAAAAGATGTTGGGGGCTGGAGAGATAGCTCTGAGGTTAAGAGCACTGGTTACTCTTGCAGAGGACCCAGGATCAATTCCAAGCATCCACATGACAGCTAACAGCCCTTCATATCTCCAGTTCCAGGGGAATCCAACATCCTCTTCTGACCTCCATGGGCATTGCATGACATGGGTGCATTTACATGCACACAGGCAATTCTCTCATACACATAAAATAAAAATAAATACATAAAATATTTATGTATTTATTTATATTTTTTAGAAGAAGCCTTTCATTACAGCTTTAACATACTCAATAACAATTGCCAGAGCAAAGATACAGCTCTTTCAAAAGTGACTATAAAATTTTTAGGTTCACAGTTGAATTAATACAGTTATACAATATTGAACTCAGCATAAACCCTGTAAGACATAAAATTGAATGAATTTTTAACCTTTAGAAAAGGTTTCCATTTCATTTTAAAATATACTGTATCTTACAGAAAGACTCATTTTTGCTAATAACACTTAGATGTTGGCGCATGTGTCTCTCATCTGTATGTATCTGATCACAGCAGACAGTAGCAGGGAAGACAGAGTAAAAGGGCTCTAGTGTGGGGGAGGCTATGGGAGGGTGCCATCTGGGAAGTGGGTATATAGATGAATAAGATTGGGATGTTCTGTGTGATATACACACAAAAAATCAACAATTTTTTTAAAAAGAGAGGAGGAAGCATAAAAATTTATGTCATGTTAATTAGTAGAGGTGACAAACATTACCATTGAAATCTACCTGATGACTTTATATAGTATTTTTTAAATGTCGGGACTCATGCGTGCTTGTAATGTAATTCCAGCACTGGGAAGGTAAAGACAGGCAGATCACTGGAACTTGCTGACCAAAGTCTAGCTGAATAGGCAAGCTCCAGGTAAAAGTGAGAGACCCTGTCTCAAAACTAAAGTGGAGTGACTGAGGAAGATACCTGAGGTTGACCTCTCAACTCACATGGTGTGTGTACCTACACACACACACACACACACACACACACACAGAGAGAGAGAGAGAGAGAGAGAGAGAGAGAGAGAGAGAGAGAGAGAACATAAAATCAAATCTGAGCTCAGCCACAAATGGAAATAAAAATAGCCATAACATCTTAGAGTCATGCCTACTGACTGACAATGAGACTAAGGCTCCATTAGTTTGGAAAGGTGAGGTCACCCCAATTGCTGTTTCTGCCTCCTAGCTACTGACTTGGAAGCCCAACAATAAGCCCTATTATAGGTTTGGGTCTATCCCAGTGTGTCTGAGTAGGAAACCCCTCACCCTGCCACTGTCTTATGCTTTGGGATTTGACTGGCTCCACTCCACTGGCAGAGTCTCTTCTAGTATTGACACTGACTCTTCTCCTTGGCTGTGTCCTCTTTCCTCCTGTGGAGCCCATGGTAGCCAATAGGCTCTTGCCTCTTCCATGGTCAGCTCCAAGATTGGCTCTTCCTTGGTTCAAGCTCTTGGTTTTGTCCACAAACCCACTCTCCTCCTAGGGCACACAATGCTGAACTGAACTTTCAGCCCAAGGGCCTTCATGACCACCTTCCCAGAGATAAATTGCTTGCTTTCATGCCCACTTTAGGCCTTCCAATTCCTGCTGGACTACACTGGGGAGCCCTGGCTCCAGACCCGACCCACTTTTCCTCCAAGCAACCCTGCCTAGGCTCATCCTGATTAGGAAAAAAGTACAATCTAAGCCCAGGACAGGTCAAGATCAGGTATACAAGTCTACAAATGTGTTTTCATTAAGGTGCAGGCAGACTACATGGACAAATTTTTCTAGTTTGCCTCAGTGAAAGATGTGGGAGTCAGGGATGGATTCAACCACTGAAGGAACCATGAGTCAAGAATAGTGGTCTCTAGTCAGTGAATGCAAATCTAGAACACCGGCTTGTCCTTTGGACAATAGATTTTATTTATCACTTACAAAAGAGGTTGACTGCATGCATGTTATAGGATGCTGAACTCCCTACGGTGGGCAATCATAATCCAGTCCAGCTTTTCCCTGAAACATAGGCCAGAAAGTGCCTTCCAGACTGGGGCTCCTTGCATGCTAGAGTCCACCCCCAATACTGCCTGGGCCAAGGAATGATGACCCTTAAGCAAGGACTCTGCACACTGGTACATCTGAGTAACACCTCAAAACACAGACACAGACATCAAGAAAACCACATGTATGTACAATCTGCTGTATCAGTGACCACTGCATTCCAGAAGGCTTATTAAAGAGTGTATATGTCAAGATTTCCTTGAAGAAAGTTCCTTGAAACAGAGCAAAACCTCCATGTATTAGTCATGGCAGCTTTCCGAATTTCTCCTCTGGGAGAGACTGTTGCACACTGTCAAGGTGTGTCCTAGATAGAGGAAATGCTGTGGACCAGGAGCCCTCAGACAAGATCTGTGCTATAAACTCATTGTGTGGCATGGGGCAAATCACTCTTCTCTTAGGGACTCATTTCTCTGTCTTAGCCAAACAGACTTGGACTAGGTCTTACTGCCCAGCTCTGAGTGGCCTCCAACCTCAGCCTAGTGCTTCCTGGGGGCATTTGGCAGAGTAGCTGTAGGTGCTAATACTTTCTGGATGAAATGTACCCAGAGAGCTGGCATACAAAAAAATACTTTGTATTCATGCTATTGTGCACTTGGCTAAGGCCCTCTGCACCACTGTTTTCTTGGCATTTCCCTTCTTCATTTTACAGAGAAAGAAGAAGATTGAGAGGTTAAACAGCATCTCTAAGGTTACATGATGTGAGAAGGGTTGAATGAAAAGGTAAATCTCCTGGGAGCTCAGACCTGTGATCCATCTTCTACCTGGCCCTGTCCCTTCAAGGTAGACTTGAGATAACTGCCTTCACTCTTGTCAAAGCCCATCTTAGATCAGCATGTCAGGGGCACAATCTTACCTAGATGCCAAGGTCCATTGTCCCAATGGCTTCAGATATCACCCTATAATTAGCATGAGTTGTCAGAGCATCTTTGCCCCTTCCTTGCCTGCATTTTCTTCTCTATGGCCTACAAAGCTCACTGACTTTCAGCTTTAGCTTGGGCTAAACCTCCATTAACTTGCGGTGATCTGAAGCTTCAGGATCCAGATTCTTGCCAGTCTTGTTACCTGTGACCAGGGCCCTACTCCTTGACAGAGAGATGACAAGACCCCAGTAGGACTCCAGTGACTGTAGGGTTTAGGGTTGGGGACTAGAAATACACAGACTTGGCTTCCTGTCAGCCCCAGCCTCTGAAGAATGGCAAGCATTGTGGCTGTGCCCAGGGTTTGGGTAATGGGTACGTGTTTGCCGACTGTATCCCATAGTCTGAGAAGTCTCTTGTCCAAGGCCCTGTGAAGACCCCCCTATGTGGAAGAGTTACATCACTGTACAAATCAGGGGTGACCTTGTAGGGCACAGGATAGGAAGTAGTAGGGTGGCCAGTGTTGGGGGGAAGGGAAGAGAAGGATCATGGGATGCACTCTAGAAGTAAGCCTTGTTGTCTACACTCTTCTTCTCAAACTTTTGCCTGAGCTCAGAGACCAGAGAGGACTGGATGGGGCTTCCCAAGGTCTTGGGCTTGGATGACTGTTGGGGTTGCTGGGGGGTGAGAGATCCAGAGACAGTAGGCACCTTCCATTGTGTTGCCATTCTGGGTGCCATTCTGGGAGGTGGCGGGGGAGCTGGGGCTCTAGGGGGCATCGTGATTCCTGCACTGCTGTTATTGCAGTTCTCATTGGGAGGATCCTCTTTGAGCATGAACTTGGTAGCCGTCTTGGCCCTCCTGAACTTGAGCCACTCAATACGAACTGTGCGTGGTGCGGGGCTGGGCCTCCTACGGAGCACGCGCCTTACAGGCTGGACCTTGTTGGATTTCTTGTTACGCCAGAAGGTGGCAGTGGAGATGAGGACCGTTATGGCCACAACGATGGCCATGACTCCAGCCAGCACACCCACAGCCTTCATGGGGTTGTCCTTGGTCTGTATCAGGAAGGCAGCCATGGAGCCTCGAGACAGCGTCTGGAAGAGAGAGTCATTCCTGCATTCATCTCTTTCCTCCTCTTCCCTGGAGCACAGTGGTGGTGTGAGCTAGCCTAAGCCTGTTAGGTTCACTGCCATCAGGTACCCCTTTGAGAATCTCAGGCAACACACTGAGGCAAAATATGGTACAAAAAAACCTCCTGCAGGTTCCAAACTCCTGCTTTGCTTAACTCTGTCCTTATAAGAAGGACAGATATGATATAGGGAGGCCCATGAACCTAAACAAACCAGAAATCCATTGAATCATGACTTCTTGGTTGTCACTGAACTGAGAACTACACATAATGATTTAACTTCTACCTTCCGACACCTGAGTGAATGAGTCCTTCACAGGAAAAATAGAGGCTTAGCACAGCCCAGAGTCATACCACTAATACACATTGAAACTAGACTTTTAACTTGATTTCCAGTTTATGGGTTTGATTTCACAGATAGCCCTTGAGAACATTTTAAGCATCTTTTGAAGGAAACCCAGGGATTGTCCTGCTCCTGTTGGAGGGGATGGCTTTCTGTTCCCTTTCTCTGACCACAGCCTTGTACCTACCTCTGTATCTGTGATGTCAATCTTGAGTACGGCTGTGGTGCTGAAGGACGGGGAGCCTCGGTCCTTGGCCTGCACTTGTAGGGACCATGTATAGTCTCCATTGGGCGTGATGTTTTGTAGGGCATCCAGGGAGTGGATGGAGTTCTTGAGTCTGATCTCCCCTGTATGTGCATCGATGTCAAACACGTTGGCTGGCTCTGCATGGGTGATGGAGTAGTCTACCAGGTTGTTGGGCTCCTCTGCATCCTGGTCTGTGGCCTGTGCATAGAGCAGAACAGACAGAGCTGGGCTTGGGGAAGATACCTTTGCACACTGACTAAATCAGCATGTAATGTGGGGTTTTCTGGATCAGTGGAAAAGGATCCTGATTCTATATGGAGTAGATAGAGTTGGAAAAGGAGAATGTATGTTCTACTATGAGCCATGGTCTATGTTAAGTCCTACAATGTGCTACATGGTTCAGTTCCCAGAGCAAGTCTAGGAAGTAGTTGTTGGTAAAAGTGTATCATAAATGTAAACACGAAAGCTTTGATACCAGGGCAGAAGTGGAAGGAGAAGAGCTTGGATTCAACCCAAGATTTTTAGATTTCAGAGTTCAGTTCTTCTCTACATCAAGAAGTTGGAATACTGTGGGAAAGGCATTACTTTGAAGGTAGGCAGACCAGCTACAAACATTCCACCCTCCACCCCTATGAGCTTCATGTTTTTCCATTTGTCGTGTTTTCTTTCCTAGAGGAGTTTTCTGGTTGGGGTGGAAAAGAGGCCATATAGAAAGTACCCTGCAGCCCATTGTCCCTAGAGGGGGTAGAACACATTTTATTTTAAGCTAAATTCATGTTTCAGACAAAAGTGCTCAGCTGCCTCTAATACCCACCTCAATTTTCACTGGGGTCCCCAAAACCATAGTCTTCTCTTGGATGCTCTGTCCAAACTGGGGGTAGTGGTCATTGACATCCAACAGGGTGACAAACACCTCAGCCAGGCTGTACCTGCCCTCCATGTCCTCTGCCTTCACGTAAAAGTTGTACCTCGAAGTGCCCTCTGCATCCAGGCTTGCCCAGGGCTGGGTGTAGATAAGCCCAGTGGATGGGTGGATCAGGAATCTGCCAGGCACAGGAAGCACAGGCACTCATGCATGCTTGTAGAGATATGCACACACACATACACACACACACGCACACACACACACCACATACCACTCATGTATGCATGCACATGCCTGCAGTAATAAGCTGCCTTCAGAAATCCTCAGTGAGACGTCGTGCAGCTTCTGTAAGCATCCCACCTGCTCCTCCCTCATCCTTGTAGCCTGATACTAGAGGCAGATCCAATTACTGACTTACCCACTTGGTCCTATGGAGCTTAGCAACCCAAACCACAGCCTGTCCCAATTTCCCCTGGCCTGATGCCTCCTCAGCCTATCCCTGCTTCCTGCCTCCAGGCTGTTCCCATGAGCTTCTCTCTGTCATCTCACTGAGTGCAACCCTCACCTCTGCCTCAGGCTCTCCATTGCTTCCCTCTATCCCTTGTCCCCTCCCTACCTTGCACCTGGGATGCTCACTTCCCTACCCTAGCTCTTATCCTTTCCAGGTCCCTCCAGCTTTATGTAGAGACTCCCTTCACACTAGCCTTCCAAATTTCTTGCTTGAGGCTTTGCTAGGGTTCCTGATCTACTTACAGGTCTGACCCAGTTCCATAGATGGAGTACTTGACTTTGCCCCAGGGTCCTGTATCTGGATCCACAGCCTGGAAAAGAGAAAGCTCTCTGTGCTGTGGTCAGGCCCCTGGCAGCTCCTTTAGCTGAGGACAACTTTCTTCAGGAAACAGACAGAACCTGGAGTTTGTCCAACTGGCGATAAAGTAGCCTGGAGGCTCCTCTGTTTTCTTCAGGGAGGGTCTCAAAGGTCAGAAGACCCAAAAAGTTTATATCTGGAAGGCATTTTATTTCTCTTTCATAACTCAGTTAGGGAGAGGGATGAACTTGAGCCCTGTGTTTAGGTTCATACATATGTCCACATTATCACTACTGAGAAGCAAGTGGCCCAGCAACACAGCAAAGATGAGGAGAGATTCCTTCATGAGTAGATTATAAAAGGCTACACATTTTGCTGTGGTACCAGACTTTCCCCTGCCTCACCTCTGCTATATAAGTGAATGGTGATGCCGATCCCATCAGATTAAGAGACAGAGGCTAAGAGAAGGCAAGCAGCTTGCTCAAGACCACAGCTAAAGACTGTAGGCCTTGTGATTTAAACTGGAACCCTAGGCCCTGGGCCAGTCCCCAACTTACTGTGACAGCCACCACGTTGGAGCCCCCTAGTGTATTCTCAGGGATCCTGGCGATATAGTAGTGGGAAGTAAACTTGGGGACATTGTCATTGGTGTCCAGGAGCTGGATCACTATGTCTGCTGTGGAACTGAATTTCTCTGGGGTATTCACTTCAATGGCCAGGAGCTAGGGGAAGAAGAACCACAGTTGTCTGGCTGGGCAATTATCCCACCAACAGCCCTCCACCATCCACCATCTGTCTCCCCAGAATTGCTCTAGCGCTCACTTGCTTGTCTCTCTGTCTTTTGATGTTGCTGTTTCATCTTTTGGAGTCAGGGTCCACTATGTAGTCCAGCCTAGCCTCAAACTGCCAAGCCTTCTTCCCCAGCCTCCCAAGGGCTAGGCTTATAAGCATGAACCGCCATACCTAGCTGGCCTCCCATTCTTACTTTTAGTTCCTGTTGGAGGTTCCTCTCACCATCTTCATGGTCTCCTATCATCCCTCCCCGGTGGGACTTACAAAGCTAACACTCTTACTGCTCCCATCTGTACTTAAGGCCTGGTTTTTGTCGTTGTTTTGTTCTACTGACTTGTGGTTCCAAGTTTCTAACCATTCTTATAAATTTGACTTCTCCAGATAAAAACCATGGTAATTTTATCAAGGTTTCTCAGTACCACTCCAAAGGCAATTCTGCTAAGAGTTACTTGGGATGAGCAGGTGACATATGCCTATAATCCCAGTACTCAAGAGTCAGAGGCACAAGGATTAATGAGTTTGAGGTCAGACTAGGCTACACAGTGAGCTCCAAGACAACCTTGGCTATCCGGAGAGATTCCATCACAAAAAAAAAAAAAAAAAAAAAACAGCAACAAGAAAGCATGAAATAGTAGGAAGGCCTTGAAGCCTTCATTACCTTTTCATTAGGGAGAACTGGTATTTTTAAGACTAGGAACACTTTTCTATCCCTTCATGGAACTTCACATTTTTCATCATTTAAGTGTTGCATTGTTCTTATTAGGCTAATTCTTAAGAATGTCATATTAATTGTGTTTGTAAAAGTATCTTTTAGGGAGTCCCTGTCTCAAAAAGCCAAAAAAGAGTGTACTTTATTCCACTATATTCATATTTCTCTCTCTCTCTCTCTCTCTCTCCCTCTCTCTCCCTCTTTCTCTCTCTTTCCTCTCTCATTTTCCATCCCCATAGGAAAACTGTTGGGATACTACCTTTGTGCTATTTGTGCTATAATTTTGTTTCATTTATAACAATCTTTCAATCATTTTTTTCTTAGTCATGTATCTACAAATAGTGCTCCCTTTGACTACTTTATCTAATTTTTGCAGCTTTTATCTTCTCTTTATTCAGAAATGATATCATTCCAAACATGAATGAAATCATCGGCGACAGTAGGCATTCATAGGGTTTTTTGTTTTTTTTTGTTTTGTTTTGTTTTGATCTTTTTGAGACAGGGTCTCCCTGTAGCCCCAACTGGCCTGAAACTCACTATGTATACCAGGCTGGCCCTGAACTCACAGAGATCAGAGATATACCTGCCTCTGCCTCCCGAGTGCTGGGACTAAAGGTGTGTGCCACCACGCCTGGCCAGCATTCACGTTTTATTCCCAACTTCTGACAATGCTTTTAGTATCTCACTTTTTACTATGATGCTATTTATATATAATTATAAATAATGATGATTTAAATATTATTGAAGTATGTCCTCATTTATATATAACTCATGTATTAGTATATGATAGGCATGATTTATACATATTTATGATTTTATATAATTACAAATGACATCAAAGGAATATATCCCCCTCTTCTGCTAAGGTTGTTGGTGGAATAGATGACAGACATCAAAGACAAGTGAGAAAACATCTATTTTGATAATCACACAGTGTCTCTGCATCTTTTTACATGGCAAACTATATTGGTAGTGTGCCCTGGACTCCCCAGCTCTTGCATTCCTGAGCCAGTAGTGGTTTAGAAGCTGGGATGCTCAGTGAGACTGAGGCTGTGAACACGTTTCAGAAGCTGTGTAAGTGAGGAGGCATTCTTCTCCCGCCCCACCCTACCTCCTGCTCCCCACATGCCCAAAGAAGGGACAAACAATCTAGGAGGAAGACAAAAGAATCAGTAAAGACTGAGGGTGATGACGGTTCTCTCAGAGTGAATCTAGATGCTGGTGTGAGTTGCCTGGCTCCCAGCCCCTACCCACCCATTCAGGACAGTGCAACGTACCACCTACCTTGAAGGCTAGCACTTTAGACTTTTCAAAGTCAATGGCGGCTGAGTTCTCCACAATGATGGTGACTTGGGCTTCATTCAGGACTGTCTGTGGCACCACTCGGAAGACGCCCCCAGGTCCCACCAGCCGCAAGTTGAATTTGGCATTGGCTCCCTGGACAACAGAGTTTGGAGAGAAGAAACAAAAGATAAATAAGAATAAACACATTTATTTGCACTAGGTAAGGAGCCCTTACATGTCCTTGACCCTGAGGTGTGAGTAGTCTTTCTTTGTAAAGGTGAGCTAATCAAGGATTAGATTTAGCACAAAGTGTCAGCAAAGTCCCAAATGCATAAGGCTTAGTCCTGGGCTGGGCATAGGGAGAAAGGTTACATTACAGATGTCCTTTGGAGGGTCAGATGCAGAGGATCTTTTGGTTTAGTTTTTCCTTTGTAATTGATTATGACTATCTTTTGCCAAACAGATAGTGATAGAATGTGTGAATCACAGGAGAGCCATGAGCTCCATCAAAGGAAGCCATAAAGACATAAATTCCTTCAAGCAGCCACCTGGTCCTAAATTGACAGCCTGGCCTTTGCTCAAGCCTTATCCACTGGTCACTCCCCAGACTGAGAGAGAATGTTTACAGAGCCAACGTGTCTCCTTTAATGCTATAAGATAACTAGCCTGCTCTTCTTGAGAAAATAATATTAGGAAGAAGTCCCTCAATTACCCGAAGGACATTGGCACCAAGCAAATTCCTGCAGTTGCGTTCAACATAGTTTCTATGTAAGTCCAAATCGCTCTGCCTTTCTTTGCAGATACCTTCATCCCTCAGAAGGATTTATCAGCCCTTTGCTGTATTCCTTGCCTGTGGTGGGTCTGGCTCTGACTTTTATTTCTAAACTTTAAACTCCTTCCTTTTTCTGCTCTCCTAAATCCAACAGACAGTCTTGCATTGGATACCATGCCTTCATTCCTTCTTGGTTGCTTCATCTTGTTTCATTCATTTTGTGACCTGTGTGGCCTCTCCCAGCTAAGCTGAGCTTTAATACAGGCCCAATTCAATTTCAAGGGCATGGCCACACACCTGGTCAGAATCATTGACGGTGATCTTGAGGCCCCGCAGGATCTCCCCTTGAGGCGGGTGTTCATACATGGACAGTTCAAACCTGTTCTGGGGCCCACTCTCTCCGTAGAATGTTGGGGGATGGTTGTTGAGATCCACAATCCTGATGGTGACTGGGATCATGGCTTGAGCAACTGGGCTCCCTGCAGAGCTGATCTCTGTCACCTGGAGTGGGGACAGATGGTTATGGTTGTATGGCAGACAGACTGTTACTGGCCCCAATCATTCTGCCTCCTGGGGGTTCTCCTGGAAGAGAGTAATCACAAGGGTAATTTTTTTGGAATTACCATTGTGATTCCTCTCTTTAAGTGTGGCCTGGCTTGGCAACCTGCCTCTGACTGACAGCATATGGCAAAGATGACAAGCTATCACTTCATGATTAGATCATAAGAGGTTAAAATTCCATTTTGCTAACAGTTTCCCTTTCCCAAGGCTTCGATGAAGCAGGCAGTCATGCTAAAGAGGCCTTGAGATAAGGAGCTAATGATACCCCGAGACAACAACCATCAAACAAATGAGTCATACCAATAACCAAGTGACTAAAAAGCCAGTCTTCCCTCAGTCAAGTCTCTAGTGAGATCCCAGTGCAGGCTAACAATCTGATTGCAGCTGTGCATGTGACCTTTAGATGATCCAGTCAAACTGAACCCAGACTCCCTACGCCTACATACTTCGAGAAATGAATGTATATCATATTGTTTTCGGTCACTGAGTTTGGGGTAATTTCTCATGAAGCATTAGTCAATTAACGTAGACTACAAAGCCAGGGCTGGAGGTTCATAGGCACCCCATGAAACATGTAGCAAATGTGTAAGCCTTTCCAGGGTCTCCTCCCTTTGTTGTAGAAGGGTGTTCTGTCTGTTTCTAAAGGAAGCTCTGAATGATCCCAAAACCCCATTGCTTCACACTTGCCTGCGGGCTTCACTCCTCAGAATCCTCTGCCTGAGACGCAGAGGAAGACCTCCCTTTCCTACTCCCACTTAACTTTCACCTGCCCTCCTTTCAGACATTTCACAGACTTCCACACTGCATCCTGCACTACCACCTATGCACATTCCTAAGGGCTCAGCTCCCTTGGTCAATGTGACTCTGCCCCTGGCACATTCTCAGCGACTTCTCTGGTCCCTGTTCTCCGCATCCTCCTCATTCTGATGCTCTGTAGAAGTGGACTTGGCCAACTGTTTCTCTCTTGGACAACCATCCTCTGGGGATGGGGGCGTTGATCTCATTTCTTCTATGGTTTCTGTACTTTATGTGGATATTTTATTCTCTGAGATCTGTACCTGTATGCCCATGTTTAGATGTCTCTCTTTGGATGAGGCACCCAGACTCATTTCTCTCCTGCTAAATTTGTTCCCTTCCCTATCAAGGTCCATCCATGTCTCTTAATTCTTCATTCTCCACAGTTGATGACCACGTTCTGTGCAGTCTACCACCTTCCTAGTCTGTAATGTGTTTGTGGTGGTTTGAATGAGAATGTCCCCCATAGGCTCCAAGTATTTGGACATTTTGTCACGAGTTGGTGGTGCTGTTCTGGAGGTTTTAGGAGGTGTGGCCTTGAGGGAGGACGTGTGTCACTAGGGACAGGCTTTGAGAGTTCTTAAGCCTTGCCATTGTTTTAATTGCTGTCTGCTTCCTGTTCCTGCTTGAAGATGTGATCGTTTTCAGCTCTGACTCCCCGCCGTCATGCCTCCCTGACATTATGGACTCTAATCCTTCTGGAACCATAAGCCAAATAAACCTTCCCTTCTGTAAGTTGCTTTGGTCATGGTGTCTTATCACAGCAACAGAAAAGTAACCAATACAGGTCCCTTTCGTGTCACTAGGGACAGGCTTTGAGAGTTCTTAAGCCTTGCCATTGTTTTAATCGCTGTCTGCTTCCTGTGCCTGCTTGAAGATGTGATCGTTTTCAGCTCTGACTGCCCCGCCGTCATGCCTCCCTGATATTATGGACTCTAATCCTTCTGGAACCATAAGCCAAATAAACCTTCCCTTCTGTAAGTTGCTTTGGTCATGGTGTCTTATCACAGCAACAGAAAAGTAACCAATACAGGTCCCTTTCTGTCATCTCCCCTCCCCTTACTTTCCCTGGCCATCTTCTTCTGACACTTTAGTTGTGGCCTTGCCCTCCTGTCTAGGCTGGTCCAGGACTCTGTCTATTGGGTACTCATAACTTCCAGAGCCCTGGGGCTACCCCAGATACACCAAGTTCTAATTCCCAGGGAGGCTCCTGGAAACTGTTGTAGCCGTTGGCTACAGAGCAACCAGAGAGCGCTCTCAACCTGTGATTGTAATTCTACTCTGGCCGTTGGGAGCTCTACTGGCTACAGAGCAACCAGAGAGCGCTCTCAACCTGTGATTGTAATTCTACTCAAAGAGTTCAGTGGCTCTTGATGGCTTGTGGGTAAGGCCAGCTTCATCACTGGCAGGTCCAGTAAAGCACAAGAAATTAGTAAGAATTTTAAGACAGCAAACCACAGTATATTAGGCTTAGAGGAGGTCTTTTCTGACCACAGCTTGTGTGTGACTACATGGTCCCATGCTCTGCTCCACAGGAAAACCTGTGCCTTGCATTTGGGACCTTGTTCCTCTGGTCATACACTGGGACTCTTCCTCCTACATACTGCCTCTCTGAACTCCTTGAGCTTTTGTGGCTGGGAGTGTCTTGCTGACACCCCACTACTCATGATTTCCTTTATCATCTTTCACCTATAATTACCTACCCATGCTGACGGCATTGCCACCTCAATCCTCCGTCCTACCTTTTCATGAATCCCCGTGGTGGCTTCATGCTTTCCTCCACAAGGGCTCTGTAAGTATACTTGCTGCAGTTTGATGTGGGTGTTCCTTGGAATAACATGTGATTGGATGCCCTGGACTGAGCTCTGGGCATCTAGAGGAAGGCCTGGGTCTCATTACTTTTGTGGGTATCCAGGGCTGGACAGTGAGCAGGCAAATCAAGCTAGTGGGGTGTTACCTGTATATGAAGCTCGTACACCTCTCTCCCGAGCTGGGCAGGGCTCTGAAGCACGGAAATGCCTCCAGATGTCTCATTAATTTCAAAGGCTCCGTCACTCCCTGTCACAGAAAAGTGCCCTGCAGTTTAGCACAGGGCCACAGGAGGGAGCAGGGGAATCATGCCACATATTTCTCTGGCATCAGTTCATGGACGTCTCATAGAATACAATATAGTCAACCATCTATGCGTTGCCAGCGAGGACACTGAGTTTCAGAGGGACCAAGTAATCAGTTTCACAGCCAGCATAGCTCTGGGACTTGAACTTCTGTCCAGCCCTCAGGATCCAAACTGAGTACTTTCTCTTATATATCATACTGTGTGTATGTGTGTGAGTAGATATGTGTGGCCATATGAAAGTAAAAGGGAATGAGAGAGAGAGAGAACAAGAGAGAGAGAGAGAATGAGAGAGCAAGAGAGCACTAGAGAGAGACAGAGTGAGAGAAATGCAGAGAAAAGAGGGAGAATGACAGGAAGGAGCTTGGAGAAGGTGCAGGAGAAAGATGGTGTGAAGGATGTGAAGGAGAGGTGAGGAGGGATATGAGGGGATGACTGTGGGGATGATGGTAAGGAAAGACACCTAGAAAAGGAGTGGTCTCTGGGTGGGCATGTTTGTTCTTATGTGAGCTGCTAGAAGGCTGTGCACCAGCAGGGGCCAGGCTGGGGAGGCAGTGGTCTCTGGGTGAGTACATCACAAACAAGCTTGTCTGGAATCAGGCTTCAAGTGTGTTGACCTGTTCTTCTGGGGGATGCATATCCCAGTGCAGGGCCACTGGCCACAGTCCAGTTGCAGGAAAATCACACTCCACAGTCAGATGTCTTAGGCAGTAGTAGAGAGGAGCTATCAGCCCCTCTGAACCTCAATTTACTTGTTCACATATAGGCCTAATACTAGAGAAATGTCACAACCTCATTGTATTCGGTTCATTAAAAAGAATGAGAACAAATTAGCAATTCCAAGAGGGTGAGAAACTTTACTACACATCTGTGACTGCATGTCCCAAGTGAAGGGAGCACATGTGGGTCTCTGGTCCCCATGCTGTTCTCTTCCACTCTGTTCTCTGTCATCTGAGGGGGCCAGCTCCTCCACAGCACCTTGTCATCCTGGTCTGATAAGTAAAAGAACCAGGACCCAGTTCCCCAGAATCAGCTGCAGCATAAAAATACCCTCACTCACCGTTCATGAGCCTATAGAGGATGTGGTTGGGCTTGCCTCTGTCTCCATCTATGGCAACCACCTTCAGCACCTCTGAGCCCTGGGAGAACAGAAACAGTTGCCTGAGGCTGATGGTGATGTGGGTGTCACCCCTCCCCAGACACTGACCTATCATGAAAGGGAGATATCATCCCACTCAGGAAAAGAGCTAAGCTTTGGGCAACCCGAGAATGTGACCCTGCTCTGCCCTGCTGAGGGATTCCTGCACCACTGGTTCTCCCAGGGATGGAGGGACCACCTGAGCCCCAGTGCTTCCTGCCTCCAGGGTCAGAGCATAGAATGCCAGAGACTCTAGGCCTTCTGACTGTCTCCTGCCCCACCCACACTCACCTCGCACTTTGTTGTTTGCAACCCATCCTACTGCTCCACCTCTTCTACCTTCATCCTACCCAGAAGTGCATAGGGAAGAGGGGAGAAGCAGGTGGGAAGGAGGCTGGATCGCATGGCGGGTGCCTCCCAATGTGAGATCTCAGAATTAAGAATTTATCCTGTGCCCCCCGGGTATCATTTGAAAGGTTTGAGGGAGCTGGAGACAAGTCTAATTGAACCATTACCTGCAGACTCCCTGTAAGCTCCTTTTTGGGGTCCTCGCTGACTCATCTACTTTGACCCAGCCCAGTGCTGCCTCCACTCCTGGAGCCTGCCTTGAGGCCTGACCCTCAGAACCCAGAAGGTTCTGGGTCTCCCTCAATCCGTCCTGCAGGCTCATTAAGGGAAGCCAACATTCTCTTCCCCCAGGCTTGTCTCTATCCCTAGGCTCACAGCTTCTGCTTATTTCACAAAGTCTGGAATAATCAAGGGAGTCAAGGTTGAGAAGCAATCCAGTTTCACAGCAAGCTGTGAGGGTGTGGCCCGGTGAAGTCTCTCTCCAGCCTGGTTTCTGCCTACAAGGAACTCATGGTTGGGAAGTCATATAAAAACAGAAATGAACTCCAAGGAGACACAACCTCTGGGGGATAGAGAGGAGTTGGCTCCACCACAGACCACATATGGCAGGGACTGTGAAGGAAGAGGAGCAACAGGTGGCTGGTGTGATGGGGCATATGTACAGTGGTGAGGCTCATGGGGTGGCAGGGAGCTAGGCTGAACAATGGGACCCTGGGGGATTTGTTATGAAGACAGAAGATTGAATGGGAAGGAAACTGAGACTGGTCTTCCAGCTGGGCCTAGTAGGGTACTTGGCAAGTTTCACAGTGGTTCCTGCAGGAATTAGGGGAAAATTGCTGGTTTGAGGACCTTGGGGTTTAAGACAGAAGTTGGAAAGGCCCAAGGGAAACCTCGCCTTCTAGGAGCGGTGTAACAAAGACTGCAACAAGCCAAGCCTGTCAGCCATCTTGCTTCTCCAACTGTTTCCAGGCCTGACTTCTGTAGCTGGACCAGAGAAGCTTGAATGGATGCAGAAATGCCTGATCTACTTTAGCACCAAGCAGATGCTACAAAATCAAGTGCAGGCCTCCTCCCTCTTATGTTCTCGAGGAAAGAGAACCTGGGTGATCCCAGAACCAACCTCTGTGAGGGGACAGTGGCTGCGGTGGGAGATGTGGTAAGTCCATCCATCCCCAAACATGGATTCCAAAGAACCATCCAGGGAACACTAGTGAAGACGTGCAGCTACTCACCGGAATAGTGTCCTCGTATACGTAGCCGTAGTAGGGTGTGCCCACAAAGACAGGGGCCATGTCCTGAACATCCTCCACATTGATGGTGACGGTGGTGGTGACTGAGAACACCACATCAGCCCCTCGAAGCCTGCCTCCACCATCCTGGGGAGAAATCAGCCCAGAGAAGGAGGGTTAAGACAGGGTGGACTCGGACAAACTCTACTGGAATGTGGTTCCTGTCACCTCCTGGCTGTGAGGCCAGCTGTCCCCTCTGAATGTCTATTTGTTCCTGGATTTCTGGAGTTCACTCTTCCCTCTTAGAGATGTTGGGCACATCAAAGATGATATGTGAAGGTGTTCAGTCATGTGCCTTGCATGCAGCAGGTTACTTTATATAATTAACTCTCAAGGGACATCATATGTGGCTAGTGCTGGAGAAGGGATCAGAGATAAGTTCCTCAAGCAACTCCTGAGAACCTTCCATATGTTCAGTCTTGGAGTCATTGGGTCCCAGAAATATGACTTAGGCCCTGTCCTGCTCAGGGGACATGGGAAGAGAGCAGCTAACAGGTGTAAGCAGTCCCCAAGCTGTAGGGGAATGGCCTGGAGCTAATGGTAATCTTCAAGATGGCTTCCTGCATAAGAATCCCGTAGGCCTGGTGGGAA